AAGCCCTACACCCTAAATCCTAAACCCTAAATCCTAAGCCCTTATAAGCCCGAAACCCTCATCCTAAACCGCCTTCGTTCCTAGACCCCACCTGCCATTGAGGCAAAGCGCCTTCGTGCTGCCGCCTTCGATGCTGGCAGCCTTCCCTGGCTTTGTCGAGGCCGTCGCGCGTTCTAAATGGCTTGAGTAACATGCTTCAACTCCTTAAAACGGAGTCATATAGGGGAACTGCTATAGCGGTTGAGGAGGATACTAGGAGTCTAGACTACGGCTCATTTAGGGTTTAGGGTTTAAGATTTAGGAATGGAAAGGAAATGTAAACGGGTCTAGGGTTGACCTGGGCCCGACCTAGATCCTCCATCTACCCTCTTTATGTACCCTACATTAAGGACCATACACACCGCAAACTTAAGGGTACAACAAAGGTTTGGGTTTAGGGTTTACCTGGACCGTAGATGGCCTTCCTTTTTTGAGGCTCTGTCCTACATGTTGTGACGGGAGTAGATCCCCAAAACAGGACGTTCAGGGTCTAGGTTGGGTCCTTATACCCACAGCCTAAACGGGCTTAGGGTTGAACCTTAAGCACTCAACCCTTCACCAGCATTTTAGCATTCCAAACGCAGGCATGCTCAGCAGCTCGCCGAAGGCATGGTTATCGGCACTTCTTGCGGCCCGTCTCGACACAGAGGTGAAGGAATTAGGTTTACGGAGAACAGTTTTAGGCTTCGAGTTTCGAACGTGCCGTGTTGCACTTATAGCGCCTAGAATGTAGGATGGAGAGTTTAGGATTCAGGGAGTCGGAGTTGTCTGTTCAATTTGTAGTGTGTGGGGTTTAGGTGTCAGGGGCCGAGAAGTTTTCGGATTTGGCACGTGGAGTGTGAGATGTAGTGGTCTGGGTTTTGGAGGTTACGAATGGAAGCTTTGGATGTTAATTAAGCCGTAATTATATGAGCTATAATCTAAACTCCAAGAATCCCCCTTAATAACTCCTATAACACCCCCTCATAAAATCCCTTATATAACCCCCTAAACTACGTTTCGGAGGTTAGGAGTGGAAGCTTTGGATTTAGGTCTCAGGTCTCAGAGCACATGGATGGCGGTCTTATGGGCTTTCCAGTGGTGGAGCAAGAGATGCTACAAAGCCCTCCCCTGAAGGTCCAAGGACCCAACTAGTAGGGCTGTAGGGCCCAAATATTATAATATTAATGGTATTGGGGCCCTAAAATCCTAGGGCTTGGTTGGGCTATCCGACCCTTCTTCAAGCCACTGTAAGATATGGGAGTCTCTCAAGATGGGTGCCTCCAGGGACCCCGACGGACATATAGTGATGATAAGGGGATACCGGGGGTCCTTATTGGGGATTGTATAGGGATGATTTTGAGAAACTCTCATGTGAACCTGAGGATTCAAGTACGTCGTAATCATGTGCTTTCCACAACCTAGTCTTTGTACCAAACCGAACCCCGACTGAGTATATACTTGGACCCTCTGGGAGACGAGTAGGGTGTCGTCAAGGAGGCCAAACAGTTCCAGGGAGGCACAGCTTAGACCCCTCAGGGTTTAGGGTTTAGGGTTTACCTAACCCCTCAAAGTAGGTAACATCATGGCCCAAAGCCCTGAAAACAGCCAAAACGGGCCATTACATACTCTAGGGGTTCAGGTAGGGAGGATCTTAAGTTAGCTCCCCTGTTTTAAAGCCAACTGTAACCCTCTTTCTGGTCCTTCAGTCCTTTGCCTATTTTAATTGCCTGGGAGCCTGGTCAAGGTTTTAAGGGTTCGGCCACGTCTTAATATGAAAGTACATGCAGCAATACTGAACACTTCATGTGGCTCCCCGCAGAGATTGCATTTTTGTATGTTGACCGCGAGCGCGAGCCCCCTTCCCAGACCCTGGGAAGATCTGAGCAGTTGATGCTCTTCAGGCTTTCTGGACATTGCCCCATATAGCAGAGGGAACCATATCAGGGGCTCTAGTTTCTAGATCATCCCAGGGGTCTGGGTTGATAGTGGCCCCTAGGCAACCAAGTGAGCGAACAGTCAGCCCATGTGGGCAACAAAGATTTCGGGAGCTCACACCCCAGATTTCCTTATACCCCAAGCTTTACAAGTACTGAACCTCCAGCCCAGATTATACAACCTCCGAAATCCCGAACCCCCGGCTCACACCTGTGCCCCAAGCTCCACGCCCAGCAGCTCAGGACCAGCGCGGCCACCGCATCCTGAGCAGGGAAAAAAAGATCCAGTCCAGACTCGTTGTGTCAGCTTGATGTACCCTAACCCCTGGCAGGATCTAGGCAGTAAAATTCCCAATATGGTGCCCTGTATGGGTACTTTAAAGGAAGCCTTGAGGGGGATCCGCGTTCTAGATCCTCCACTAAACCCTATGAACATGTTGTTCCGTTTGGTTCTGTTGTGCACTTACGAAAGGAAGCCAGGCTCCATCCTTCAATTGGCAAATGACAGGCTAGTGAGTGTTTAGGGTTTGGGTTTTAGGG